TAATGTAATCTTATTCAGCTTTGTCCAACAGTAAAAACTGTTAATTGTACGTGGTCTTTGTTTTTTGGTTATATTTTAAACGAAATACCAGAGATTGCCATTCATTTGTTCTTTCAACCAATGTTTACATGGTGCCTTTTATATAGAGCAGTGGACAAATGGAACAGACTAGTATGTAATTTCATGCAACTTAGGATCTAGTGGGAGAAGGAAAACAAATATAGAAGATCTAACATGGGGTGAGAGATGCTAAAAAGAAACATAAAGAAGGGAATGAAGCAGTGGGCATGCTGTTTCACACAAAGCAGTTGGAGAACCCCCCATGGAAGACTGACTATTGAATAGAGACCTGGAGGGTGGGAGTTTGATGGGGGGGGGGGGGCAGAGCATGATAGCTAATATCTGGAGTGCATCTCAAGCAGAGGCCATGCTCAAGGTAAGGGTGCTGGGTGGGAAGATGCCTGGAGCACAGGCCCAGGTGGAGCAAGTGAAATAGTAGGTGGGATCAGAGACTTGTGAGTAGAGGTGGAAGGACCCGTAGGGCATTGCCAGGACTTTGGGTTTTGCTCTGGGTGAGGGGAAGGGGAGGCCAGAGGACCCCAGCAGACGATGTGGAGCATCTGGCTTATGTTTTAGATGGTCGCTGGCTGCGGTGCTGAGACAAGGATGGAAACAGGTCTGGATGGCAGGGATAAGCTTGGTAGCAGTAGGAATGGGGAAGTGATTGGATTCTGCATATGTGTATTTTGGAGGTTAGTTTAGAGGAATTGGATATGGAGTGAACACAGAAGTTCAGAATAATTGTAAGGTTTGTGACTTGACTAGCTAGATAAAAGGACTTGCAATTTAATGAAAATGGAAAAACAGGTTTATGTCCATATGATCACTGTGATGGTGTAGAAACTGTGAATTAGAGAACTTTTGTGCTCGAGTGTGAGTGTATCTGGAGGGGAGGTTGGAGAAAATAGTTAAGAAGGCTGCAAGTTGAATGTTCATTGAAAGTTTGGATATGCCCTTTTAGAAAGAGAGGACGGTACTCCTGGGGGCTATAGCCATAGAAGAATAAACCCATGGTCCGTGTTTGGAGATGGTGGTGGTGGGGATGGCAGAGACACTAAAAATAAGATCAAGATTCCTTGGTAATTTGCCTTTACCTGTATTTTCATTCATTCATTCATTCATTCATTCATTTTATTTATTTATTCATTCATTCAATTTATTTTTTGAGAGAGAGAGAGAGAGCACGAGTGGAGGAGGGGCAGAGAGAGAGAGAGGGAGAGAGACAATCCCAAGCAGGCTCTATGCTGTCAGCACAGAGCCCTACTCGGGAATCGATTGCACCAACTGGGAGATCATGACCTGAGCTGAAATCAAGATCGGTTGCCTAACCAACTGAACCACTCAGGCACTCCTACCTGTACTTTTAATTCATTTTCACTGATGGTAGAAGCCATATTGTGACAGTGATGGGTTCTTCTCTTTTTCTCAGCCTGAGCATTGTAAACAGCCAACAGTGAATGGAGGTGATAAACTCAAAAAACACAGATGCGGAGTTCTGGTGATAAGCTTCTCAATAGGACTGAGAATTTTGGAAACTTTGCACTAAATGTGCATCAGACTTCTAGTAGTTGTATTATAGTTTCCGTACACCCTTTGTTCTCTAAGATCCTTCCATGCTTCCTGTCATAGACTGCTAGCAACAGAAGTTGTTGACATGTATGTGGTGTGTTTGGTCCCTATCTGTCTGACTTCGACATTTAATGATATGCCACTGGACCTCTTCAAACTGTTTTGTGGTCCTTGGAACTGCAGGAGGATGAGAAAACTAAACTGGGAAGCTTTGAGCAAATGGGATCCACCACAAATCAATATTTGCTATTGGTGAATGAGGTAAGGTTGTATTTCTGCAGAATGTGTCTTTGCAGGCTAGTTTGTGGCTAGCAGCGACTAGGTAAGTATGTGACAAGGGAAGAGGGCTATCTCTTGATAGGAATGCATTGTCTGCTTGGTGACAAAAATTAGAAGTCTGTGAAGCAGGCATGATAAGTTCAGGCTTCATTGTTTGGTTTAAAGACAAGCTCTGTCGTTAGCTGAACTTCCTGTAGTATGAAGACGTGGGGAGTTTGGAAAAGTTGGAAAACATTAAACAGGAATCCTTTAAAGGGCTGTGTCTGAAGTGATAAGTTTGATGTCTACCATAAGCTCTAGGGTGTGATGAAATATTTGCCATTGGAGTATGAGTGTTTGAATCAGGACAAAAAATGAAAAAGAAATCGCAGGGCTGCAGTGGACCATTTTGAGAAGCTTTGACTAATTGTAGAAAGAACATTGAGCCCCTGACAAGCCAGCAAATTTGGAAAAATGATCTATTTAGAGAGAGCCCTGTTGGGATTGTGATTTGATGTGAAGAAGGAAATGGGATCCTGGAACATGGTGCTACGCTTACAGGTTTTTCTTCTTAGACTGTGTTTGAAACGTTGACAGCCCTCACAGTTCACTGACTCCATTTTCCCAGATTTAAAATAATACTCCCCTCTTGAGGTTGCGGTTCTGATTAGAAATGCCGGGTTATGGACTAATAGCTCATGGCTATATATGTGATGAAATAGATTTTCTTTTTTGTTTGTTTTCTTTTACTTTTTTCTTGATTTCCTTCCTCGCCTGCATTTGTTTCATCTTCTAGGGCTTTGTTTGGAAATATGTAAGGAAATCACATAATTCTTACTTAGGAATTATCTTCCTTCTTATTTTTCCACCCTCTGTTAACTTGTGATATAACACTCTTCCCTAGAGAGAGTAATTGTAATTCAGCAAGCTGAAAAATTTAACTTCAGGTGAAAAAGAAGGAGCAGAAGTTGATGAACCCTTAAACAATAAATATTTGTATTTTATGCAGCTGCCACTAGTAATTGGGAGAAAATAACTAAGTGGAATGGACTCTAAGTCACTCAGATACTCTCAGGGGTTCTGGATGCATTTACGGGATCCAGTAGCTGGCTATTGGGGAACGTTGTGTTGAATGTCTGTGACACATTGCCACCTTGTGGCTGCAAGCTTTCCTTTTAAGGCAGAAGCAAATTCCTAGTATTGAGTCCACATGGTAGAATCTTATTTTATATTTTCCCTACTATTTATAATTCAAGGTGATAACGAAAGATTTGAGACACTTAAAAGGATACCTGTAATACAGGGTAGGAGAATTGAAGAGAATGTCCTTGTTCTCAGAAGAGGCATATTGAAGTTTTGGGGGGTGAAGATCCATAATGCGTGCAACTCTCCACTGTGTGGGGGTGGGAGAAGACAGAAGAAGAGAGAGCAAAGGTAGTATGGCAAAAGGTGGTAAAGGGAATACGGGTGCTCACTGTCATTGCCAAGAAAAAAGAAAAAAGAAAAAAAAACAGAGTAAAGGCATAAAATGGAGCCATGAAGGAGACAAAAATAACTTCTACATTGTATAATGATCAGACCACATTTGAACCACTGATTGCTTTCTGCATTTTCCAGTAGCTGATGTGTCACTGTCCAGGGTTCTCTTGCTCCAATTTTGTGTCCATAAGGTTTGAGGCCAGAGTATCTAAAATTCGATCCAAACCTTCTTAGAGGCTGTCCTAAGTAGAATGCTGTTGTAATGAACAGCAGACTCAACAAATAGCTTCCAAAAGTACAATCTGGGATCTTTTCCCTACTGATCTGCTTTGATCCTGGAGTGGAGGCACTGCTAGTTTTTTGAGGACCTCTCACAATAATACTAAGTGGCCATGAAATACAGTAAGAAATTGACCAGCATTGAGTTTGAGGTGGTTACTTACTGACAAGTGCTTGAAGCCCAGGTCTGTTCTACCCCACTGCACTTGGGAGGAGTTACTCATAGGCAGGGTTAAATTTCTTTTTGTGCCATCGTTTTGAGTATGCTGCACCACGTAGGCAAAATAGATCCATGATAGTGCTAATCTGCAAAAATTCAGACAGATATAACCAGATAGCTGTTTCTCTACCCATGAACACAAAGCAAAGCAAATCTCAGTGAAGCATCCCCTAAAAATGCTCAGATTTGAGCAGCGCTACTGAAGTCTTGTCTGAATTTAAATTTCTACAAAGTTTTTTTCTGTGGCATTTGGAATTTCCACGAATACCTTTTGTACTCCTTTCTTGTTCTTAATAACCATCTGGATAGATGTATATGCAAATGAGTATTTTTGTCCTCAGTCACCATCTATATATATATGTATATGTATATATATATTGCATATATACTCTGAAGGTGAACATTTTAGAAGATGTGGCCCTATTCAAGTTTGAAAGGTTTTCTTAGAAAAGGAGGACAGATCTTGAAATAAGTGTTGTGACACAAGGGATTCTTTTGTAGAAAGCTGTCTGTTGAAGTGATTTTAGTTTCTCTGATTCTTGTGACAGGTTTTCTTTTAAAAGGCTATAAAGTGATATAGGGATGTATTGATTTGCATTAAGGGATGTGGTGCTGAGAAATTTCCCTTCCCTGCATGTATCTGTGAGCACCAGAAGCCTGTGGATTTTCTTTCGTGAACTACTAAAGAAGTGATCTATTGATTCTCTTTAGAACAATACTACTCATTTTTTAGAGACATCATGGCCCACAGAACGACATATACCTTACACAGTGAGTAAGGACACACACACACAAGTATAACTTAATCAGGCGATTCATGAAACTGTGCTTTTCCTTTGTTGGACTCTAACAACTTCTGCTACATTTAAACGAATCCTGGTTAGATCTACTAAATTTGGTTTCATGACCCACTAATTTGTTGGGACCCGCACTTCAAACGTCACTGCTGTTGAGATTTTGCGGTACGCCAGAATGTGCTCCAGATGTAGCACACAATAGTGAAACCCTGAATTCTCTAAAGTAACCACATTAGGAACAGGCTTGGGAGAGAGGGATTTGGAGAAGGATAAGCAAGGGGGCTGGTGGGTGTTGAGAGTGTCCTCAGCCTGTGATGCCCCTGTGTTTGTCTCTACAGCTTGACCACATACTGTCACCTCCGCCCATGCCGTTTCGGAAATGCAGCACCCCGGATGTGACTTCTGGTCCTGCAAAGTCACTGAAGTTTAAAAGACAGCTGAGTGAGGACGGGCGAGAGCTGCGGCGGGGAAGCCTGGGAGGAGCTCTCACAGGTGAGTCCTGAATGACTGATGCGCAAGAGGAGGAATTGCCTTGACTCACTGGCGGGTCCTCCCAGGTGGTGTGAAAATTGGCCTGCTTTGGAATGGGCCTGGCCCTCTGCAGACCCTTTGGTGAAATCTAACGCAATCCAGAGAGCACTAAAATTGAGAATTTTATTGTTTCAAATTTTTATTTAAATTCCACTTAGGTAACAAACAGTGTACTCCTGGTGTCAGGCATAGAATTCAGGGGTTCATCACTAATTTACTCCAGTCCTCATCCTAACAAGCTAAGTGGGTGATGGGTCTTAAGGAGGGCACGTGTTCTGAAATTGAGGATTTTACTGAGAAAGTTGACATACAACAGAAGGGACCTGCTAAAGCAGGTGTGTGTACAGATTTTGGCAAATTTATTTACTTTTTTAAATGTTTATATATTTTGAGAGAGAGAGAGCAGGGGAGGGGCAGAGAGAGAGAGAGAGGGAGACTTCTGCAGGTCTCTTCTCTGTCACCGCAGAGCACCATGTGGGGCTTGATCTCACCAACTGTGAGATTATGGCCTCAGCCAAAATCAAGACTTGACTGACGAAGCCACCCAGGTGCCCCAATTCGGCAAATTTTATACACCAGCATAGCTACCACCACAGTCGAGATATAAAACCTTTCCTGTGCCCTGTTTTTGTCTTACCTGCTCTCATCCCTCATTTCTTGGCCCCAGGCGACCAGCGATCTGCTTTTCCTCACTGCAGATTCAATTTACCTCGAGAATTTAACATTAATAGAATCAAACGGTACATGTTCTTTTGTGTCAGGCTTCTTTTGCTCAGTATGTTTTTAAGATTCATCTGTGTTGGTGCATGCATCAGTAGTGTATATTGAACTTTATAAGGAACTGCCAAACTGTTTCCAAAATTGTACCGTTTTACATTCCCACCAGCGACAGATGAGCAATCTAATTGCTCTGCATTCTTGCCAACTTGTGGTATTGCCAGGTATTGAGTTGTTTTTTGATTTTAGCCATTTTAATGGATAGATAGTCATATCACATCAGGGATTTATTTTGTATGGTCTTGATGACTTAAGTGGTGTTGAACATCTTTGCATGTGCTTATTGGACGTTCGTTTATCATTTGTGAAATGTCTTCACAGCTTTCATCCTTTTATTTTCCTTCTCACCCATTTTTCAATCATGTTGTTAAATTTAATTTAAACATTTTCGAATACAGAGAAAACACAAATCACTTGTGTTGACTTGAAACATAGCCAGCCTAAGATAATTTAAAGTGCTTTGAAGTAACTCACCATATAAATTTTTCATATTACTCACCTTTAAATCACTGAAGGTTATTTCTTTTTCTTTCTGAGTGCTTTTTTCTGTGAATATAAATATCTTTGGACAAACTGGTTTTTATTTTATTATTCTTTATACGTTTGTTTTTGAGAGAGAGCATGCACATGTGGAGGAGGGGCAGAGCAAGAGGGAGAGAGAGAATCCCAAGCAGGCTCCACACTGTCAGCACAGAGCCCGATGTGGGGCTCAGTCTCACAAACCGTGAGATCATGACCTGTGCTGAAATCAAAAATTGGACACTTAAGCGACTGAGCCACCCAGGGGCCCAAGAAACAGATTATTAAGTCCCAAAGCAGAGTTTTCTCTGTATATGACAAGTTTTCTCTGCCAGTTCCTAAATGGTCTGAAAAGTAAGTTGAGTTATTCACATTTTTTGGAGAATCCTGGATTTTGACTTCTGAGAGATAAATTTCTGGTAACAGCAAGGATTCTGTCATAGGCTCAGTAGACTTTAGAACATTTGACCCATTGTGGCATACTGCAGGGTGAAATTGACCTCAGGCCAAGGGGAAGAAATTCACCAAAGACAGCTTCACTTCACTAAGTTTAGGCAAATGTTCATACTTGAGTTATACTGATATTCTTTGAACGCTTGTGAGGATATTTTTCTTTGCTTTCCTTTACAGATTGAGACTATTTGCTTTTTTAAGCGGGAGATCCTAAACATTGTTTAGTCCAACCCTTTTTTGTAAGAGGAGAAATTAAATCTTAATGGTTAAAAGACTCATCCCTTTCCTTACTCATTTCTCTTAGGAAGTTTACTTACTTTGGTTATACTATTTTTGACCAAAAGGAGGGGCAGTAATGATTCTCTCCAATTTTTGCTAGAGGAGTACACTTAAAGCTTTAAAACAATGCAGAGGTATACCTCTTGATGCAGATAAATGACCTGAGTCATGAAATTTGGCCTACAGCTTAAAAAAAAATCTGAAGTTGATTCCCATTTCATAATCTCAATAGCTCTAGCAATCCTACTCTTAAAAATTTAGTGTGCTATATATACAGTTTATTTTATTTTATTTTATTTTATTTTATTTTATTTTATTTTATTTTATTTTATTTTATTTAAGTTTTTATTTATTTTTGAGACAGAGAGAGACAGAGCATGAACGGGGGAGGGTCAGAGAGAGGGAGACACAGAATCTGAAACAGGCTCCAGGCTCTGAGCTGTCAGCACAGAGCCTGACGCAGGGCTCGAACTCACTGACCATGAGATCATGACCTGAGCCGAAGTCGGCCGCTTAACCGACTGAGCCACACAGGCGCCCCTATTTTATTTTTTTATATACACCTTTACATTTTTATATATACTTCTATATGATTAAATGTCAGGTTATGTAATTTTCAAAAATGTTTATTAGCCCTTGAGAGAGAGAGAGAGAGAGAGAGCGCTTAAAAGAATCTCATGAATGTCAGTTTTTAAAAACAGTTTCTTGTAAGTTTGAGTAGAATATGAAGAAAACATTCTAATTGGTCCTCTAAATAGCTTAGCTAAGGATTTGATGAAAGAATTTATGCCAAGCCCTTAGCCCAGCCATGGGTGGCTATGAATATTATGTGCAGCATGGATTGAATTTGGGGTGTTTGCACTTGGTGGGGAACTTGGGCTTCTGAACATCAGTTTGGATCCTTTATCCATTGAGTTTCCATCTGTCTCAGGCACTGTGCCAGTATTGGGTTGCAGTAGAAAGAAAACATCATTTCTGATCTTGAAGAAAGAGTTTCTGTTAGTAATAGGCACCTGTGAATTATCACATGTGATCTTACCTTGGGATATACTTGTTGCTAAACTTAATTAAGTCAAAGTAACTGGTTTTGCCATCAGAAATCTGTACCTGATAAATTTTGTAACATCAAGACCAGCCATCTTCATATTGCTTAGCTTTGCTTTAATCTTAAAGACTCTTTTCTTTGGCAATTTTTTACTGCTTTCTTTAAACAAAGATTCTGTGAAGGCTTATAGCTTAAAATTTTTGCCACTCAGTTATCCTTGATAAGTTTCATTGAACTCTGCTTTTTGAGGGGAAGATCTATGATGTTTTCATCTAGTTGTCACTAATAATAATGAGAGCTAACCTTGAGAGCTTGCTATGTAGCATGCATTGTTTTTAGGGAATTATATTTATTGCCTTAATTTTTTCTTAAACATCTTTATCCCCCTATGAGGGGCAGTCTTATCCCCATGTTACAGATGAAAAAACTGAGGAACAAATAGTTTGACTGAATTGCACAAGATCATGGTGTTCACAAACAGCAGAGCCAAGATTTGAGCCTGAGCATTGTGGCTCCGAAGTCCATTCTTGTAAATACTGCACTGTTCGTAATGCAGTAGGTACCCGTAGGTTTCTAGTAAACTCCAGCAGGGTTAATTGGAGTGAATGCTAGGGGGGAAAATCTTTGCTCATTTGGAATCCAGGGCTGACTCAATCTATAGGGATCCTGGTCCCTTAATTGCAAAAGTAAATTAAAACGATACAATTAATAATTAAACAATTACACATTTGTTAACCCAGCCATTCTATGTCTCCCATTTCATCACAAGGAAATAGTTGTGAATGGGTGCAGAGAAATAACAATAGTGATATTTAGATCAGCATCATTTATTAGAATTAAAATTGCTTATCATCTAACTACCTGGCAAAAGATATTGGCTAAATGTATTATAGTATACACATAAAATGGAAAGTAATTGTAAACATTAAATATCATGTAGTAAAAGAATATGTTGTAACATTGACATAGTTTCCCAATATGTTTTTAATATGGAATTCCATTGTTCAGTGGTCTCATGGCCTTGATTGCTTCCTAGGTTTTGCTATAAATGTAAGGAAATAATTGTATATATATAACAAGGGGGAGGAAGACAGTTCCTGGGATGGTTGTTGACTGGGTTCCCTTTAAAAATGGGCACGTGAAGGATGTTATGGCCTTCTTTTACACCCTGCAGTTCTATCCATGAGACACGTTTTGCCACTGAGATTTCCTGAGGCATTAAGTGGTTTATCAGTTGGTGACAATATTGTATAACTACAAACTTTCATTGGCAGACAAGTATTTCTTATTTACATGGTTGCAGGTCAGCTGGGTTTTGGATCATTTTGTCTGGGCTCTGCTAGGATTGGGTCTAAGATGCTATTTGAGTCCAGATTTGCACAATGTGTCTGTCTTCTTTCTTGGACCAGCAGCTAGGCAAGGCATCATATTCTGGTAAAAGACAGGAGCATGAGAGTGCATATCCACCAGCTCAGGCCTGCTTCAAGCCTCTGGGGACATCATGTCTTCTAATTTTGTATTGGCCAAAGCAAGTCACATGGTCAAGCCCAGAGTTAAGGGGTAGAAACATGTTCTACCCACATGGTATCTGGGCCAAGGTGCAGATATATAACACTAATGCAGGGTAATAAAGAATTGGGACCAATAATTCCATTTGTTATAATTAGCCTCTCTCTTTTTTTTTTTCTTTTGCCTTTACCTATTTTTTAATTATTACAGTGATATCTGTTTAATGCAGACAAATGTAGACAAACTATCGGTACTTTTTCTTTTTCCAGGGCTAGCTTTTAAACAACAAACACAGAGTTGACTGTATTCAACTCTGTCTGATTTTTTTTTTTTTTTAATTTTATTTTGGAGGCTAACGCTATCTTCTCTCTTTATGGCC